CACTCTTTCAGACCAGTATGATTTTTCCCCAAATGCTCCTAAATATAAAAAATATATTCATTAATATAACCAATTGAGTAATAGCCCTATTTTAAGATGCTATCAGTGATTCACAAATAATTAATAGCTTACAAATTTGAAGTGGAAAATAGGAATTCTCTAACTTTTTCAATGTGGTCATTAATACTATGTGGTCATTTATTTAATCAGGACTTTAAAACCATAGATTAACAGTTAAGTATATGATAAGGTTTTAGCAAACACAGAAATTTCATTAATAAAGCACTGATTTAATCACATTTTAACTGAACAAAATTATAATTAAAAGCCATTTGACAGAAGTGTCTTTAACAGATTTTCTCGGCAAATCCATTAAAAAGTACAACTTAATTTTCTGAGATAATTTATGTACTGTAATTATTTTAATTTAAGGCAGATAAGCAACAGCGTATGCTGGATGAGAATGGGTACACGATGGGTCCTTCACTGAGGAAATTGCCCTGTACTAGAAACTGAAATTGGTAGACAGATGTATATATATTTATGGAGATGGGTCCATTGGGGAAGCTTAAGAGAGGCAGAAACAGATCACTCTGGGATTCAAAGTAGAGAAAGTCACATATTATTGGACAACAGAGAAATACAATTCATTATATAGATAACATTTGAAATGAGTTTCACTGTATTAGTAAGGTTTTTACAGGTGCAGATGAAAGTAATGGCTAAGGAAACACTTTATGCCAGAAATGCTTCTTCTAAGAGACCAGTCAGTCTCCTGGTGGTATTCACATGTTCTCCTAGAAACAGAATTCTTCAAATGGGTCTTCTATGGAAGCTCTTTGTGTAAAACTGGTTGAAGAGCATTAGCTCCAATTGAAAGCATGGGAGAGTAGAGATCTGGATCCTCCATCTTCACTCTTTCATTATTTGCCACCACTAACTCTGTATCAACAACTCGATGTGTATATGCTATAGATTGAAACAACACATTTTGTGTTGTAATATAATTTTATCATTGAAAAGCACAACAACTATTTTAATAATATAAATTATAGACATAAAGATGAAATATACCATTTTGGCTGATAGGAATATATGTTTAATACAAACCTGAACATAGTATTTTTCAGGGAGGAAGAAAGAGACAACTACATCAGAGGATTCCGATTAGAATCTTCAGAAAGACATGACACTTTTACATTAATTACAGAAATCTTTTAAAATTGAGAAATACAGATGTAGAATACAACTGTAGAGGGGAGTAGCAGGACATATGGCAGAAATAGTAGTAGTTCAAGACAATATTCTAAAGTTTTTGAATGCCAGACTGGCACATGTGGTTGTACAGGTTGTATCCTGCAAAACTCAAGGACTACAATTCAAACTGGATACATGCACAACCTGAAGAGCTGTGCCTAAGGACTTTGCATTTAATTTGGATAACAATAGAGAGTTTTCAAATTGTTTTTAAGCCTGAGAATGGTATGATTGTAGTTGAACCTTAAGGAAATTAATCTTGCAGTGTTTTATAAAATTATTTAAATTCCTGAAATATAAATGTAGAATATAATGAACTTAGTGGTCTGTCACAGGCATGAGCTGATTTTGTAACTTGGCTAGAAGGGAGAGGATAAACAAAAATCACTCAAACTTTTTCTCAAGTGACCACAATAATTGTTGTACTTGATAGAAATAGAAAGGTCACATTTATAGTGCCTGGGGCAGGATAAGAGGTAGAATTAGTTCTCCTTTGACAATTTCAAATTACTACAAATGCTTTTGTCACATCAAATGAACAATTTGCTATCATTCCTCCTACAAGACTTTATTTTTTCTTTGTCTTTTTTCCTCTTTCAGGCTGAAGTCATTGATGTGAGTTATGGAAATGCAGATGATTTAAAGAGGATTAAAAAAATAAAAAATGTTACAAACCAGATTGCACTCCTGAAATTAGGAAAATTACCACTACTTTATAAGGTTGGTTCGATGGCTAATTTTTGGTGGCGGGGTGAATATTTTGTTTTGCTTTGTTGGAGTTATATACCTCTGTGAGTGTGGAGAGAGAGAGAGAGAAAGAAAAAGAGGGGAGCACAAAGAGGCAGAGGGTATCACACAAGAGGATGGCTTTCCCCAAATAGAATGTTTTAAATTAAGATCTTTAGGAGAAAAAAATGATGTCCCTATACTTAAGACAAGAAATACCTTAAGCCAGGTATTGGTGAGTTTGTGGGACCTTGATAAAATTGGCAAACTCTCCTTAATAATACCTGTCTGGAATGCTAAAAATGAGAACCACAGTGTCCTCCTCTTATGACATGTGTGAAGCTTCTAATCTATTATCAAAACTGACTAATTGCTATGTGTTTTATGTTAGACTAGTATCTAGCTGATTTATACTCCTCAATGATTGATTTTGCCAACTATATAACTTCATAGTTACTGACTGTGCTCAGGAATTTAATTAAACTATAATATGCTAAGGAGAAACAGAATTTTGATTTATTTTATTTAAATTGAAGTTTATTAACACTCATCCACTAGATGCATTTACATAATTAAAGCAGTTCGATCTAAGTATCACATAATGAGCTGCCACAATAGACAGCCACTACCTCTCATTCTTACTTTGTTTTTTTTTTTTTTTCTACTAAAAAGAATCGTCAGTGTAGTTATGTCACTGATTTTCTCTGGTTCTGAAGATTTTTTGGATTTCTCTTCATTTAACTTTAAATGAGCTTTACTAATTCCCAGATCCAAAAAAGTTTCCAGAAATCTGTTGGCACACTCTGTAAGAAGACAAGAGAACATCTTGTGCCTGTTTTTCATTATCTTCCAAGGACGCCCTTATACTTAAATCAATGTCTCATAGTTGATAACTGGCCAGAATTTTAAGATGGTCTTGAAAATATAATATACAGTGATATCAATTATTTGCAAGATAATTTGTTGACATGTATTAAATGCCCTAAAATTGTCAAATTTTGAACCCATAATTCCAGTTCAATCCATATATTCTTAAGGGGGAAAAAAACAGAATCAATAAATAAAATGATGATCAATGATGTGACGAAATATTAAAATTATATATATGTCCAGTTAAGTATTGAAAATTATGCTACATTTTTACAGCTGAATACTATACAATAATTTCAATGTAAAGAAGAATATTTAATGAGCCATGGAAATTCTCATAAGTCAAACAAGTTATAAAGAGGACATTTATAATGATTATATTATTGTTACTTGTAAAGGGAACATTGTTAGTAATATGGGCTAGGTGTTTTTCTAAGCACTTTTTATATGTTATTACATTAATCTTAATAACTGTATTATTGAGGTAGAGACTACTATTATCTTTTATTTATAGAATAGATAACTAAGGCAAAAAAAGGAGAAGTGATTAGCTCAAAGATGAACAGCTACTTACATAAAACAATCAGGATTTATACCCAGTCTCATCTCAGAACCTGAGTCTTTAATGTATATGTATATGTGTGTATGTATGTGTGGGTATGGTGTAGTTAGAGTAGATTTATAGACAGACGGATAGACAGACAGACAGACAGAAGATGTTAGATCAGGGTTTTTAACTGAGATTCTAATATAAAAAAGAGTAGATATTTTTAAATGAGCCACCTACCACCAGTGTTTTAAAGGAAATAGTTAAAAACATGTTAGACTATTATTGAACTCCTTACTCATTTATAGGGTATAAAACGTTATTTTTAATTTCTAGATGGGTATCATTAGTGAGTGGGGAAGGCAATAAAATAGAGTTCACTCCTTCACCAACAGACCTGATCTTGTGGAGACAAGTTGACATTTTAAGTCAAGTGTAGAGTTTAGATCATGATATAAGAGCTAAGCATTCTAACTCTTTACTTATGACAATTGATTCACATTTTAATTTTTATTAATAATCAGAAGAATTCTTTCTTTAGGTCTTAGGGGAAAGAATGTTCCTCTCTAGAAATGTTTTAAAAGGACACTGGGAAACAAAGTAACATTGCTTTGGATATATTATATAAATCTTGCTTGTTCAACTTTGTGGCATGGGGCCAATTATATACATTGGGTAAATGGAATTATGGATTTCTATTTTATATTTTCCTAAATCTCTAAATATTCTACAATGACTGCATATATATTTTATAAGCAAAAAAGAAAAAGAAAAAGTCTTTAAAAATTCAAGTTACGATAAGGCATTTAAAAATTTTCTAATAATACTTAAAGGCTGAATACTCAAAATCCTTACCAGTAGATAATGAATTAAAAGAGAGTATTTACATTATGAAACCTTTTGACTATATCAACAAAGTAGTGAATTAGTGATTTATTAAGAATAGGACACATGTATTAAGAAGCTGGTATATTTTTTTCAGCCTTCTTCCATATAAGTCTGTGAATAGATTTAACAAAGAGTTCTACGTAGAATCCCCCTCCAGACATAATCTTGCTATATATCTGGCATTATCTTCTAGGTAAAGGAGACAGAACATCCTTTCTTTAACCTTTCAATTATGTTCTATTCATCTTTGTTTCCTGTGGATAGTTCCAGAGACTTGGGAGGAATCATTGATATTATTGCTATTAATACACATTCACATAGTAAAGAAAAAGGAAGCATGGATTAGACAAGCTTATGGAGCATGATTACAGCCAAGCTTACCTCAACTGTTCATCAAATATATTATGGGGCTGAAATTTGAAAGTGAGGAAATAGTATACAGTAAGATTGAGAAAGGCAGAGGATCAATAAACTTCTATGTGAATTACAACTATTAATCATAATTCTAAATGAGCATCTGTATTGGGAACATGCAGCTGAATGAGCAAAAAAAAAGTTAATGTTATTTTAGCTATGTAGTAGTCACTAAATCATAGTTCAAATATGAATTTGGGAGAGAATCTCTGAATCTGAAGTAAGAAGGGTATAAGGGAAGGCATAATGTGATATAAAATTATTTCTTAAATGAGGAGAAAAAATCTGAAGACAAGAAGGAGATCTCATTAATTTTATTGTAAATATTATGTACATGCTAATTTAGTCACTAGGAAGGGGAGTGATGAGAAAATCCCCACATTGTGTGGCAGGAACTGTGAAAGGCAAATGGCTTGTAGATATATACTGCAGGAAAGAGCCAACCAGGCTCTCGATAGCTAGTTTGTACTAGTTCCCTTAAGCTTAAGCCTTAGAGGAAAGGCTTTATTTTAGCTTTGTATTTATAGCAGTTTATTTTATGGAGAGTGCTTTAATTCTTTTAAGCTTTAAGACAAAATATTCTCTTATATGTCATAATGGATTTCACTTAGATTTCTCTCAGTGACAATCCAAAACATAGTAAAGCAGATTCTAAAATCCTCACAAATTCCTAAATTGCTGAATAGCACTCTAGTATGAAATTTATTTTATAAAATACAATAAAAGCATTTGCTTTCTTTCTAGAGCCATTTTCTCAAAAGCAATAATAATAAAAAAAAATCATGTACTTCATGAAAAATAAACATTAAGGAACACCACTGAAATGTATAGGTTGCACCATTGTCTGGGTTCACACCACATATCAGCCTCGTGTCTTCCAGGAGTCAAAACTATATGCAGTAAAATTACATCAAAGATATGTCTTATGCCTTTTCTGCATGGTGAAATTACACACAAAAACCTACAAATGCTATAGCTATTTTTTATAAGTGAATAACATATGACATATTTTTAGTACTCACTTTATATAGTAATATATCAGCAGATAATAGCTGGTTTTTGCATTTTTCTTGTATACATTTTTTATTCTAATTACAATTTTAATGATCCAGAAATCCAAATGATTTTGTAGTTTCCTACAAATTAAAGTTTTATATTTATTCATCAGATAAAATTTGCATTTTAATATCTATTGTGTATTGTTTGTACAGTATATAACTTAATCAATCACCACTTAAGTCCATTAAGATGAAACCTATTGGAAGAGTATGGAAGAAAATGAGAGGTAGGAAACACTTGTTAGGTATTTATACCTTAGAATAGTTTCTCACAAATTAGGAATGAGTGGTATTATTTAAAGGAAGGTAAAACCATGCTATTTGAATTTCAAACCCAAATTAATCCAAAAAAAGTAGGTACATTTCAAACATAGAGTTAGGGGTTTAGGGTAGAAATATCTGTAGATATCAGTGATTTACCAGTTAATACTCGACGAATGGACAATTTAGAAGATCAATAAGAAATCATTTAGTTTATATAAATGCTGAGACACACTGTATTTTGAAAGTTAACTTTACATAAATCATTTGCATGCTTTTCATGTTTGCTGAACTATACTTTAAGTTTCATTTCCTCTAGTCTCCCTTTTTTTTCCGATGACATTTATTTAATACTTACAACAACTGCATTCAAAGAATTATTTTTCTTTATAGAGAGCAACATTTACTCTAAGTGGTAGAATATTAAAGATGGTAGAACTAAAATTTAATTCTAAAATTAAAATATGATGCATTTAGCTAATAATTAACATCAAAATATGTGGTGCCTAGTAAAATAATATAACAATTTATAAAAAAGGAATTCAATATTTGTTGTTGATAAAATATTCATGTGCATCCTATAAATTTATGTGGCACTGGTGTAACCTTATGTGTGATGTGGTAGTGAGGTTGGGAAGGTAGAAGAGAAAGACCCATATCCTATTGAAAATTTGATGCACTGTAATTTTCCCTGTTATTGATGAAGCTGGTAGACCTATTTACATGACAGTCTATGAATATTTCAGATTTTAAAAAAAGGTTTAATTCAGTATGATTGCATGATGTTTTTAGGTATAGTTTTGTATGTGAAGGCAAACTTGCTTCTTTTTTCTTAGGACAATTTTTGAAGGCATTCTATGAACAATAACAAAAAGGAAACACTATCTTGATATTTGAAAAGGATATGCTTGTTCACTGACTAATTTAATGAGGCACTTCATACCCAGTTCTCAGAA